CCCACCCCTTCCTCCAGCCCCATGGAGGGCAGACGCCGGGATTCCGGCGTGGCCAGCAGCCAGCCCACTGTGCAGCCTCCGTGCTGTGCCCTGCGTGTGACCAGCCTCCTCTGGCTAGACACCCCACAAACACCTCCTGCAAAGGGAGCGTGTGGACTGCAATGAAGGGGAAGAAAATTACTCTTAAGGGCATTGATTAGAAATCAAAGCATTAAATATCGGATCTAGAAGGAACGTCGCCATGTACTAAACCCCTTGTATTAGTCCTTTTCTGATGCTTATAACAAAATACCTGGAACAAACTTTATTGCTTACAGTTTCACAGGCTGGGAAGTCCATAGTCCAGGGAATACATCTGGTGAGGGTCTTCCCTGGCAGTGACGCAGGGTCTCACATGGCGAACGGCAGAGCAGAGACAGGAGAGGCTCTCACGGGCTCTCCTTTGAAAGCCCTCAGAACCACGACCATTATTCCAAGAGTGTGGCATTCACAAGGGTGCAGTCCTCACAGTGCAGTCACCTCCCCCAGGACCCACCTTTGAACTACCACAATAGGATTTCCCACCCTCGTAACACGGCCGCAGTGGGCACCGAGCCTCCAACACGTTAAACTCTGTGGGGGACACAATTCAATCCATAATAGCCCTCATTTGACAAGAGAGGAATCCAGAGAAGTGAGGCCATGTGCCCTCGGCCTCAGCAGCACCGGGGCCAGATCAGGTCCCCCTGGCTGCAGCCCAGTGTCCTCACTCCTCCTGGGACATAGCCACCGCAACGAGCCCCTTGCATGGCTCCATGCACTGTGGGTAGCAGAGACCTCTCTGAGGAACGTGGCTATGGCCCCCCACACCTCTGGGCCAAATGCCCCTGAGAAATGCCCACTTGCTGCAGGTGGCACCGCTGGACTCCTCCGAGGCCCAGCAGGGACATGTGTCGGTGGCAGGGAGTGCAGACAGCTAGAGGGGAGGCTGGAGCAGGAGTGCATGTGGGCTTGGACACTGTCCCACGTTAAGTTCCCCCAATGGAAGCTCCTGAAAAGTCAGCAGGCCCGACGGGCGATGCTGGCGTCAAAACCAAGACCAGGAACTCATTAAACTCAGAAGCCATTACTTTGTGAGGTCACCAGCACCCCGTCCCCCGCTATAGGTGCCACTCTCTTACCACATTCAAACTGAGGATGGGGCCCCAGGCCTGGGACACACACGTTCCAGGGAGGAACCCCGGCTGCCTTTCGCGGGTTCTCCCCTGGGCTGGCCGGGGCTCCCCCGAAGGTGTGGACTCACCTCGGGGCTCAGACGTGGTGGACGTGGGTCTCCCCTGCTCCCACAGGCTTCCAGCTCAGCAGTCACCTCCTGCAGCTGGTGGTCCTCAGGTACGCGGACGAGCAGCTCCAGCTGGCCTTTGATGACTTCCTCAACTGCCTGGTCCGGCTGGAGAACGCGAGCCGTGAGTGTCCGGTGGGGCTGAGGTCCCGGCCCCGGGGCGTCTTCTGTCACCCTCCATGAGCACGTGAGAATCGCCCTGGCAAAGATCACAGCAAAGGCAGACCATGGCGAGCGCTGGTCTGATCTGTGCAGACGGGGCGCCTGTGTGGTCAGCCAAGGGGGACTGTGAGAGTCTCGGTGACGCATCTCTCCTGTCGCCGTTCTCTGTGCGTTCCTGGTGTCTCTGCAGAAGGAGGGTGGCGTGGGGTTCATGCCTGTTATCTGAGGAAAAGTCCAGTTTCAGGTCAAATCCCATCACAGAGTTCAGCATCAAAAAGTCCCAGTCCCCCTCCCCGCCCCTCTGTACGAGGGGTCTTCATGGACAGGCTCTTTGAAGTTCATGGACAGATTTGTATCATCTTCTAATCCTACCTTTCACGAGCTTTTTGAAGTATGCTTGTAAATCCCGACACTGACCTGGTCATCTCGAATGAGATTTGCTCCACCAGGAGCAGAAAGAGCTTAGGTGGAGGTGTCCTTAGCGTTTGTGGTTCATCATCGAACCCACCTGCCCCTTCCAGGGTGGCCACGAAGGTCAGGCTGAATGGCATGGTCCAGGGCCTGTCACTCAGCACCAGGCAGCTGCAAGGGCTTGGCTGGGTGGACGGTGTCCTGGGCTTGGTTTAAGGCCCTGCTGCTGCCATCTTGACAGTCAACTTTTGAACGTGGGGCACCACCTATGCATTCTGCATTAGGCCCCACAAACTGTGTGTCCAGTCCTGCTTGGCGTTTTCTATAATATGTTTGGTTGGCAACTCGAAGGCACTTGATAAGGAAAGGCAGGGTCTGTGGCCCTCCGTTCCGCAGTGCGACAGCTCTCTCTACCTGTGCGAAGTGCCCCCCAACTAAACTGTGAGCCCCGGGACAGCCATGCATAGCAGGCAGTCAGTGAACATGTGTTGACTAGTAAGTGCTGCGAGAGGTTTGGAGAGAGGTGAGCAGACCCTACAGGGCCTTGTCTGTCAAGCCAGGAGGCGGGCTTTCTCCAGGGAGATACCAGAAGCTGGGACAGGTCCATTCCCGAAAGACCCCTCCTGAAAGGTAATCGCATATTAGTTGTATAAGGCGGCCAGAGCTGCTAGAAATAATGAGATGTGATAGCTTCTCTTCTCCAGCAGCTCTTTTCAGACCTTGCTGCACATTACCGTGCCTGGGGGAGCTTAGAAAATTTTGATGATCAGGCTGCACCACAGACCAATTAAATTAG